CTCTTAAAAAAAAAAAAAGAATGGATGGACAGATTTGACATGACACGAGTCATTTTAAACAACGAATTAAAAGGGCTCATTACACTTTCCTTTCTACTTTTGTTTATTTCCCTTTAAAAAAAATTTTGCTTGTAGATGGACACATACCCTTTTTCATTTATTTATTTTTATGTGACGCTGAGGATTGAACCCAGTGCCTCACATATGTTGGGCAAGTGAGGTACAGCCCCAGCCCCATGTGTTTCTCTTTTTGATTAAGAAAAAATTTGAAGCTGGCACACACATGTAATCCCAGCAACTTGGGAGGCTGAGGCAGGATGGATAGCAAGTTCAAAACCAGCCTCAATAACTTAAAGAGGCCCTAAGCAACCCTATCTCAAAACAAAAAAAAAAAACCAGGCAGGGGATGTGGCTCAGTGGTTAAGCACCCCTGGGTTCCATCCCTAGTAAATAAATAGCCATGTGTATAAACAGGAACAAAAACTGCCCTTGGGAACCATTTTGCCATATTTTCTTCCAGATTTACTCTACATCTTTCACATAGCTCAAATCACAATGCATTTTCAAATTTATTTATTAAATTTAGTTAGATCATAAGTATATTCACAGACATAACCACTAATTTAATTAACCATATGCATAAACCATAATCCACTGAACATTTTAGAAGTTTCCAGAGTTTGGGGCATTGTGATCCACGTGGTACTTGCAAACCTGATAACTGCAGACAAAAGAGGGCTGTGGGATAGAATGCAAAGGCCTCTGTTTTTATTTTAACAATTCTCTATCAAGTTTTTCTAATATATACTAATTGTGTAACTCTTTTTTTTTTTTTAAGAGAGAGAGAGAGAGAAATTTTTTTTAATATTTAATTTTTAGATTTCGGCAGGCACATCTTTGTTTGTATGTAGTGCTGAGGATCAAACCCGGGTCACATGCATGCCAGGCAAGCGCGCTACCACTTGAGCCACATCCCCAACCCTTAACTTCTTGTACCTCATAAAAAAAACTTTGCAAGGGCTGGAGTTGTGGTTCAGTGGTAGAACGCTTTCCTTGCACATGTGAGGCACTGGGTTCGATCCTCAGCACCACATAAAAATGAATAAACAAAGTAAAGATATTGTGTCCATGTACAGCTAAAAAATATTAAAAAAAAAAAAAAACCTTTGCCTACATTTGGAGTACTTTTTTTTTTTTTTTGAGTACTTTTTAAAACAGGGAAGTACTAGGTCAGAAGAAAGAAACTTTTTTTTTAAACACTGAGACAAGAGTCTCATTATGTTAACCAGGCTGGTTTCTAACTATTGGATCTAAGTGATCCTCCTGCCTCTGAAACTATGGGCATACACCACCGTACCCAGGCTCAAAGAAACTTTTTAAAATTCTCAGGTAAAAATTGTTTTATTAAAAATGGATGCGCGGCATTTGACACCCAGATAGTGATTATAAAGCACAAATCCATCATCTGCCCAGGGTATAATGCGGTACTGCATATTCATACCTGTATTGAGGAAGTCCAAATAACAGTCTTAATCTGCTTGGTAGATGACAAGAAAATAAGGGGAAAAAAAAGTAAGACTTGACCCTGTTTTGTGAAACAAGATCAAGTATGCATTGCCCGCTTAAGGACAGCAGAAACCATCTGCCTTGAGACCTTTAAAGACTTCCCTCAAATTGCCTACAATAATGAAAACAGGAATTTTTTTATTTTTCATTTTCCCCTTAGCCTCTTTTCCCCAGGAAGATCATTCTAAGTGTGAGAGTGTGTGTGCACCATGTTACAAAGACAACTACCATGTTAATAAAATATTCCACTTGGGAAAAAAAAAAAAAAGAAATTTATGTATAGGGCTGGGGTTGTGGCTCAGCAGTAGAATGTTCTCCTTGAGTGTGTGAGGCACTAGGTTCCACCCTCAGCACCACATAAAAATAAGTAAATAAAATAAAGGTATCATGTTCAAATACAACTAAAGAAATAAAAATAAATTTTAAAAGTATGTGCATGTCTAGTCCCATAAATGGTGTATGCTCAGCAGCAATGAACATTCTCATTTTTAAAAAATGCTCTGTAGGCTGGGTGCAGTGGTACGCATCTGTAATCCCAGTGGCTTGAGAGGCTGAGGCAACATGATCACCAAGTTCAAAGCCAGCCTCAGCAAAAGCAAGGCACTAAGCAATTCAGTGAGACCCTGTCTCTAAGTGGTCGAGCACCCCTGAGTTCAATCCCTGGTACCTTTAAAAAAAAAAAAAAAAAAAAAAACTCTGTTTTACAACTCTTTCAAAACTTGTGCATGCATTGAGAGAGAACATAAAGCAGGAGGGAAACTAGAATCTAAGGAGCACTACATCCCTTTAGTCAGGTTGTCCTTGTCATTGGAAGAACAGTCTCAAGAATCTGGAAAGAAACTGAAAGGTAAAGCTTTTTTTCTGAATACACAGAAAAGTGAATCTCACCTTTTCACCTTCATCCTCTGAGTTGGAATCAGCTCCATAGTCATCTACCATATCAGTATCACTGTCCTCAGAATCCCAGAGGTTCCCCTGGTTCACAACACCATCTTCTTCAGAGACTTCCTCATCCTCTTCCTCATCACTACTATGGTCTGGTGCTAGGTGTTTCTTGCCTCGACCAACATTAAATAAGGACTGAGCACCCTTCTTATCAGGTGTCTGAACCACTCCTGCAAAAATGCCCAAGGGTTTAAAGAATCCTGGTCTAATGGCAACCACACTCCCCTGCCCACAACCCGAACTCGGTACTTTTTACCCACAGAATGTCTTTTAGCTATTCCTCTCATTCCAAAAATGCTCAGCAAGTACCTCTCAACCAAAGACCCTGAAGACTCTTCATATGGCACCAAGCTTCTATTTTCACTGACCTTTTGGTAGCTTTCCAGACAACGGTTTGGCCCCAGAAGACTTATAAGTTTTAAGGACTTCAACAGACCCAAACCTCCTCTTGGCTGCTCTGAAAAGATATAACAAGTAAGTAAATGGAAACATCTCCAGACTCTACCACCTCCCATTACAGGGAAATTTAACTGTTTACAATTAGCCCTCTCCCACAACCTATTCCAAGTGATTAAGACGAGCAGCCCCAATTTAATCTCTGTAAGTTTGGACATCTATACTTACCTCTTTCGAGCACGACTAGACAGCCTCTTGGAATTTTCATCACCAGCTGTTAAAAAAAGGCAAATAGAGGGTTATAGAAAAAAAGAAAGAAATGGGAGCAAAACTAAAAGCATAAAAGATTAGTACACTAAGGAGATGGCTGGGTGTGGATCCATGAATGGCACACATACTTAGCATGTTAGAAGTGCTAGGTTAGATCCTCAGCATGGCAAGATAAGTAAGTAAATAAAAGAGCTTAACTCACTTCATAGAACTTTCCTAGGCACTGGATAAATGATGTAAATGAGGGGCTAAAAGTACAATTCAGTGGTAAAGCATGTGCTTAGCACACACCATTGATTCCATCCCCACCACCACACAAACACAAAAAGTGATGGGAGATGAAGCATCATGTGATCATTCAGTAACCAAATCTAAACTGGGCCTTCCTCCAGGTTTCAATAACAGCATCACATCACCATCCTGATCGTTCAAAATTTATTTTTTCTCCTGCCCTATTCTTTACTCTCAGCTTATTCAGTTACCAACTACAGTGCCTTTTAACTTCGTTAATGCTTTTTTCTTTTTACATATTCTCCCAAGATTTAAAAGGCACAAATTTCAGTGTGGAAATCACTTAACTTCTCAGCATGCACTCACAGGACTTTAAGATAATGAATTGATACCATGTATCCAAAGAGTTCAGAGTAGTGCCTAGAATTTGTTAATACCTCAATATAATCCATCTTTTACCTAAGAGATGACAGAAATTACCTGTGCAGCGGTGTCTTCCACCAGTCCTCCATAATAGAGACTACTCAACAAGTCAGAATCACCCATGCTTTCCCATTTCTGTCCCTTCCATCAGGCAATTCAATGACTGGGCCATTCCCTTCCCCAACTCCCACTTGCTAAAATTTTTTTTTTTGGGGGGGGGGGTTACTGGGAATTGAACCCTGAGGCTCTTTACCCAGGAGCCACATCCCCAGTCCTTTTAATTTATTTTTATTTTGAGACAGGTCTAAGTTGCTGAGACTGACCTCACATTTACAATCCTCCTGTCTCAGCTTCTCCAGTCACTGGGATTACAGGCCTGTGCCACCCAGCTATGTTACCTATTTTTCAAAATCCACTTAACAAAAACCTAAATTATTCAGAAGATCCCGCTTCCTCTGAACTTTCACAATGTTAAACAACACCTCTCCCTGCGTGAGTACTGTATCCCTGTTGCATCTTCTAAACACTGATGACAGTGTTCCGTTCATACTTATTTCCTAATAACTCATACAAGAATGTCAGACCTGAACAGAGAATGAATGCAGATTTAAAAGGGAACAGGATTAAAATACAGAATAATTCAAAAGCCGGGGAACCAGGGGTCTATGATACTTACCTGCAGGCAAAAACCTGACCAGTTCTGTCTCAGCACCTTTTTGTTTTCTAGCCTTTCGGCCTGGACCACGCTTCTCCTTCGTAGGATCCAACTTGCGCCCCATGGTACTGAACAAAATAGGAAGAAGGCGGAATTACGCACAATGAAAAAGTATCAGGGACATAGGCCTGGCGATGGGAGAGTGGGTAAGGGCATTCCGACGGCCTCCTCCAGGCCGCAACAAATCACCCCTTACCAGCCCCCGACCCTGCGCTCTCCCCAGGACCCAGCCCACGTTCATGTCGGAAAATCCACCCTTCGTTCCCTGAATTCCTACAGGAAAAGCACCTGAAGCTTTGGTTTATTGAGGGGTAGGTTCAAGGCCAAAACGCAACCTCGCAGCGCTGCGCCTCTCCACGTGCAACCCGTAGGCGTTCTTATCCACCAGCTGCGGAAGCGTCTTACGCAGGCGCGCGGGGCACTTGCGCGACTCCGCCTCTTCCGGCCAAAGCACCGGAACCGGTGCCCGCTTGGGAACGTGAGGACTGGCTGACTGGTGTCGGTTTCCCCCACGCATAGGGTTACTTGACAGTTCCCGACGTGACATCCTCTCCCTCGCCTTTTTGGCTTTTTGCTACACGCCGGATTGCATTCGGAAAAGCTGATTCCCTGAAAGCGGCCCCTCCCCCTCAAACCAGGGAACAACAGTGAGCCCGCCCTGTCATCCTTTGCCCTACATCCAGCCTCAAGATTATGGAATCCCATGCCACTTTCTCCCAACTCAACCCTTTGACTAGGAAGCCCTTTTCCTTTTGGACGCCAGAATTCCCCGCCCCAGGTAAGACTTGACCCTCAGCCTGGGTTCACATCAGGTCAGGGAGGAGACTTCAGCCACGTTTCACTCAACATGAAAAAAAAATCTACTCAGTCTTCCTTCAAATTAACGAGTACACTAGGTTTTAGAAATTTTTAATGCTGGGGTAATATAGCTCAGGAGTAGAGCCACTTGAATAGCATGCAGGAGGCCCTGGGTTCAATCCCCTGCATTTTTTTTTAGTGCCATTCCAAGCACCTTATTAGTTTTATCTTCACACCCTATAAGGTAGGTATACTTACAGATACAAAATCTTGGCCCAGGGAAGTTAAAACCACCTGCTCAAGGTCAAAGAGCCATGAAGTGGTGCAGGCAGATTTACAGCCTGGATTTCTACAGGTGGTTACTCTTGGTTCTGAGCATAGGGGGCACACTGATGGATGGATGGACACAGACACACACCCACACACCCAAGGCTCTTCAGGGATGAAGCAACCCTTTTCAACTATATAGTTCCTGGGCCTCCTACCATATGGACACACTCTTCTATCTTCTACCTGCACCTATACCCACACTGAACCAGAGCACTAAAATACAAGGAAACTTTTATTTTCGATTTTCATGAAGAAATTTGTTGTGGTTTTTTTATGCTTTTGGTTCTTTTTCCTTTTTTTTTTTTTTTTTTCCACTTTATTTTAGCTGCTCAGTGGCTGGAGCCGCTGGGTTCCTGGTATTAAAAAGATGCCAACAGAGGTAGCTGTGTCTCGCCCAGGGGCCCGGCCCACTCTGAATACCCCAAAAAGGGAGAAAAGAAAACTTAAAAATAAACCAACAAAATAAAACCAAAAGGAGGAAGAAATTCAGATCATTTTCTTCAAGCCTGGCAGGAACCCACAACAGTTTGTGTGTAACAGACGTTACAGTGGGAAGAAGCCAGAGTCCAAAAGAAGGCCAGCCAGCCAGCTCCCTGCAGATGGCGCCGGCGCTACTGCTGCTTGTGTCTCCAGCAGGAAGGGCACCACTGCCCCTCACTCCCTCCCCTCCCCCAGTACATGGGGGCTGTTCCTTTACAACATGAAGATGAGCAGAAGGTCAAGAGTCTCTCAGGCCCCCAAGGGAGAAGCTGGGACAAGAGAAAGTGAGGAAGGTCACTGCTCAGCGGTGGAGGTGGTATCCTCAATCCAGATCTTCACTGTTGCTGGGCTACCTATAGTGAAAGAGAGCCAAGAGTCAGAATTTGAATCCACCAGATAGCAAGGGAGCTCACTGACAGCCCAGAAGTAAAGGTAGGAACAAAGACTAAAGTTAAAATTTCCAGAATGGTTCTGTGAGAAGAGCTGGTAGGGTAGAAATTTTCCTACCTGCTGTGGGGGAGGTTCTGGTGCCCGATTCGCCAGGCGGCTGAGAATGTTACGCTCTGACATCTGTAACCTCACAGCAACTGGGGGAATTCGGGCAATGGTAGCTGGGAGTCGAGTCACATCAGCTTTCATGTCACTTAGCAGTTCTTCCAATTGTTTCAGAACTGCAGAGGGAATAAAGAAGTGGTGAGCTGTGGTGATCAACATGAAGATCCTTCTACCCTAGTGGACCAGACCACACACTACAATGACCAAGTGACTGTAATGTGTTGCTGTCTTTTGTTGAATCACCTGACCTGACCACCAACCACGCTCAAATTTCCTACTCCTCACACACTAGGTTCCATTTTGTCCATGATTCTGGTTTTTGTACTGGGGATTTGCTCTATCACTGAGCTACACCCCCAATCCTTTATAGTCTTGAGATGGGATCTTGCTACATTGTCCAGGCTGGACTCAAATTTGCCTCAGCCTCCCACCTCCTAAATCTCTGGGATTACAAGTGTACCACTATGTCTGGCTGATCCTCTGCTTCTTTTAAGTCACCTAACATTCATTATCCCTTGCTTTCTATTGTCTGTATTTTCTCCACTTCTTGAAAAAAGCTTATTCTTACTGTTTCATCTTCACACTTATCTCACCTCTCTACCTTCTCCTACTTCCTTTATAAACAACCTTCTTTTCCTTACTTCACCCCCTACCTCCTCATAATGTTCTACGTTAATTAGAAATAAATGTTGAGGGGCTGGGATTGTGGCTCAGCGGTTGAGCACTTGCCTATAACGTGCAAGGCCCTGGGTATGATCCTCAGCACCACATATAAATAAATAAATTAAATAAAGGTATTGTGTTCATGACAACTAAAAAAATATATTTAAAAAAAATGTTGAAAGGGGTTTAGAATTTGATGGCATTTCAAATCACCTGAAATTACTTCTAAAGTATCCCAGATGATACTCTATTATATTCTGCTTTGCTATCTCAAGAATAATGAATATATTAAATGAGGCAAAGAATTTCTGTCCTTGACTATCTCTAAGGCAAAGATCCTCAATATATCCTAAGCTCCCTGACAAGCAGGCTCTGAAAAATGTTTGGGAACAAGAAGCATATGGATTTGGGGAGGATTTAGTGGAGAGGGGAGACTCAATCAATAGGAAGCAGGAGAGCCACTGACTACCTTTGTGCAGGACTGCATTGGCTGGCTTGTTTCCTGCCATCGACTCCTTGGACAGGTGCTGGTGACTTTCTGCCAAACACTCCACCTCAGCAAAGCGGGTATTTAGGGCCATGGAAGGGTGAGAAGGGTCCTCTGACATGTTCAGGTAAGCCGCCCGACGCAGCTGCTCCTCAATCACCAGGGCTTGTTCTAAGAGCTGAACAGGGACAAACAGGAGATGGGAGTTAACTTACATTTTGTTCATTTCTAATGGGCCTCTCAGCTCACCTCTTCCTATAGGTAATGAGAACCTACAAAGACCTTCAGGGATGGCTCCTCAACACCACTCCTCACACTCAAGCAGTTCAACATTACATTGTCTTTTTCTTCCCCATTGAAGAGCCATGTTTTTACCAACTCTTTAGATTGTCTTATACAAAAATGATTTTTAAAAAAATTTTTTAAATTCAATTTAAGAAAATACAGAATGGGGCTGGGGTTGTGGTTTAGTGGTACAGTGCTCACCTAGCACATGCAAGGCCCTGGGTTCGATCCTCAGCACCACATACAGTAAATAAAAGTATCATGTCCAACTACAACTAAAAAATAAATATTTAAAAAAATACAGAATGTATAAGAAACTAACATTCTGGTGTTTTTCTTTCAGGATTTTCTATGTATTCCTTTTTTACATAATTAAGGTTACATTATATACACATCCATGTGAGCATCTTTATCATTAACCACTTCTCAGGGGTGGGGGGGGCAGTACTGAGGATTAAACCTAGAGGGCAATTTATCATTGAGCTATGTTTATCCAGCCCAGTTTATTTACTGAGATAGGATTTAAGTTGTCCCAGCTGGCCTAGAATCTGGATCCTCCTACCTCAGCCTCCCTATCTGGGAATAACCTGGATTACAGGCACAATCCACTAGTGGTGCCTAGGTAAAAAGAATTTTTTAATGGTTGCATGGTAATCCATCCTATAGATTTATCTGCCATATCATTTAGGTTTTTCTGCTCCTAAAAATATTTTTGTTAGGAACACAGTGGTTGCATGCCTAAAATCCCAGCAACTCAGGAGGCTGAAGCAGTAGAATTCCAAGTTTGATGCCAACTTCAGCAATTTGGCGAGATCCTGTCTAAATAAATAAAAACTAAAAAGTTTTGTCAGACTAGAGAATATAGCTCAGTGGTAGAGTATGTGTTTATTAGTACACACAGCACTAAGTTTGATCCCCAGAGAATACACATTTTTATTGTTGTTTATTTCCTTTTATCTCCATATCTCATTCCCATTCCTTTCTCCTCCAAAGGGCAACTCTCTAATACATGTACTTTGCCTTTTTTCTGTGCTATTAAAGTCCAAGTGTTATTGCTCATTTTCATATTGGTTTCTGTATATACAAAATGCTTTTTCTTACTTGTTAAAAAAGTTTCATTTATGTTGGTACATGCATTTTTTTTTTCTTCTGTTGCATGAGTATGCACTTTTACCTATCCGTTTTGCCACTGTGGAACATTAAGGTTGTCTCTAGGCCTCTTCCACCAAAAACTCATACTGTGTTGGAACACTCTTACGCTTGCTGCCTGATGGAGCTGTGTAAAAGTTTGTTTGAAATACATTTCAAGAGGCAGAATGTTGGTTCCTGAGTTACAGTAAGTATCCACTGGTTAAAGACAGTGGATTCATTAAGAAGACAGTATGAGTCAGGCAGGGTGATACATGCCTATAATCCCATCTATCTGGTAAGATGAGGCAGGAGGATTCCAATTGAGGCCAGCCTCAACACCTTAGCAAGACCCTGTCTCAAAATTTTTTAAAAATAAAGGGCTGGAGATATAGCTCAGTGATAGAGCACCCTAAGTTTGATCCACGTAACACACAAACACATACACACACACAAAAAAAAATTAAAATGGGCTGTTGTTTCTCTCATAAGACTTGGCCTAATTTATCCCCAAACAGACCAACCATCTTCTTTTCAATCTATATATTCTTCACCAATACCCTTTCTTGCCCCAAATATAAGCATTCTGCGGGTATAGCCTTGGCTCATTTCTGTCTTTTTAAAACATTATCCTTATATGACCACTGTAACTCCACATCATGTACAACCAAAACAATGGGAAGTAATACTACTCCATGTATGTATAATATGCAAAATACATTCTTGTCATGTATAACTAAAAAGAACAAATTTTAAAAAACTTTTAAAATTTTTTAAAATAAGGCATTTTCCCATGAAAATGTGTCAGCCATAATCACTAAGTAGGTGATTTGATCTTCCCCAACACACGTCAAACACTGATTGTTCTGGGACTGGGGATGTGGCTCAAGTGGTAGCGCGCTCGCCTGGCACGCGTGCGGCCCGGGTTCGATCCTCAGCACCACATACAAAGAAAGGTGGTGTGTCCACCGAGAACTAAAAAATAAATATTAAAATTCTCTCTCTCTCTCTTAAAAAAAAAACAAACACTGATTGTTCTGATCCCACTGTGTATGGTTATGGAGCAGGCATTGAAAGAGGTGTTGACTTGTGAGAAACACCAAGAAACTTGTCTAAAACTTAATTTGTCATTCTCTTCTATAAACTATTGTCTCCTCTAATATGATCACTTAATTTTTTTCAGTGACTCAGGCCTGAAATAGCAGTCATCCTGGGAGTCTCACTTCTTTACACATCAAATACACTTAAAATCAGGAGTTAGCAAACTATGCCCTGGGCCCAAATTTGGTCTAAACTATAGTCAGTTTTTGTGTGGCCCAAGAGGTAGGAATGTATTTTATAACTTCAAATGGCTGGGGAAAACAGCCAGAATAAAATTATTGCATGCCACTTCATGAAAATTATACAAACTCGGGCTGGGGATGTGGCTCAAGCGGTAGCGCGCTCGTCTGGCATGCGTGCGGCCCGGGTTTGATCCTCAGCACCACATACCAACAAAGATGTTGTGTCCGCCGAGAACTTAAAAATAAATATTAAAAATTCTCTCTCTCTCTCCCCCCCCTCCCCTCTCTCCTCTCTCACTCTCTCTTTAAAAAAAAAAAAAAAAATTATACAAACTCAAGTTTTAGTGTACATAAATAAAATCTTTTTGGAATACATCCATACCCATTTGTTTATATATCACCTATGACTGCTTTCACACAATAATGACAGTTTGAGCATGAAATATTACCTGGCTCTGTAACAGAAAAGATTTGCTGAGCTCTACAGTAAATCATTAAGTCCTATAAATATTTCCTTTATACACAAGCAGCAACCAGAGCCCAGGCCCTTGATATCTCCCTAATGTGTGACATTTCATAAATGATATTTCCATTTCCCTTGGTCCTATCAAAACTCTGTTTACAACCCTTCAGTGGCTACCTGTTAACTACAGAATAAAATCCAAATTCTCTTATCTTTGCCTACTGACCTTTAGCCCTTATGTCTTTCCAAACTACCTCCCACCATTACCCAACACGTTTTCTATAGCTCACCTGGGCTATTTGCTAATTCCAAACACTCTAAGCTTTGCTGTTTGTCTTTGCCCAATTTAATGTCCCTATAACTACCCAACTATCTAGTGCATTCATCAAAACTTAATTTCCATGCTAGCTCCCTGCTCCTTTAGTTCTCTCTGGACAACTTTCTTAGGGCACTTACAAGTCTTCCTCCTGCTGTACAGAATAGAATTCACACATATGCTTTGCTTGAAACTCAAAGCTCCTTGATAACAGGCACCTTGTTTCACCTTTGTATCCCTGTGTCAGTCACTGCTTGGTTCATAACACCATGTGTTATTACTAACTTGAAAGAGCCATTTCATGGTATCCTATTTAATACTCTGTTCTGCACACAATAAGCCCTCAATAAATATGTGCTGAATCCTGTTTTTTTGTTTGTTTGTTTGGTTGGGTTTTTTTTGCCTGGTTGAACCACTGAGCTATAGCCCCAGCCCTTTTTATTTTTTATTTTGAGATAGGCTTTCATTAAGTTGTCCAGGCTAGCCTAGAACTTGCAATTCTCACTCAGCCCCCAGAGTTGCTGGGATTACAGACATATGCCACTGTACCCAGCTCATCTGCTAAATTGGAGGAGACCCTCTCAGTGGGCTCAGTGATTTTAATAAAGAAGCTCTACTTGTATTTGTGTCTCCTCTTTGCAGCCACTCTACCTTTATCTCACAAGTTCTCTCTAACTCAGAAAAAATGACCACCAGCCCATTCACAGCACCCCCCCTCCTCAGGGATTCAATTCAATCCCACCCATCTTTCCTGAACACTCCATCCTACACTGTTTCCCCCATCAAACTCACTGCACTAGTTTGTGTCACTCCTTAGGCACACGGTCACCATCAGCTCTTGTATAGCTGATTAGTTTTCAAGTCTATATGTCCTGATCTCTAATACTAAAGTCACTAAGGAATCATGGAATGCAAAAAGTCAAAAACAGTATGGCTGAATAAAATAGACTCCTTCCTTTGCAAGAACCTTCTGGACTTCCAGTCTGTCACCACTTAAATGCCATATTTTCCTTACCCATCCTGCTTACCTTGAACCTTCGAGCTAGAAACTTATTCTTGATCTCTAAGAAATTGCCTCGGTTCATTTCACCCTTAAAAGGCTCATTGAGGATGGCATAGCGTGGGTCATTCTGGATGTCCTGCCACCGGGCATAACCATGGCTATTGGGAAAATGCTCAGGAAAAATAAAACAAGGAAAACAAGAATCTCAAACTAAAGGCCCTTCAGAACCCTGCACCAAGAACCCTAGTCCAGACTCAGGCAAAGGATACTTTATGATGCCAGCTAACAGCCAGTAGTCATGCCGTCGATGCCAGATCTCATAAGTCTTCTTGGTGACTGT